TAACAGGTACATGAAAAAAATGGTTGACATTACTAATCAGCAGGCAAATGTAAATCAGAACTACAGTGAGACGGCATTTCACCCTAGTAATATTGGCTATTATCAAAAAGACAACACAACAAGTCCCAGCAAGGATGTGGAGAAAAGTGCACCCCTGCACACCACTGGTGGGGATGTAAATTAGCACAGCCATTGGGGAAAACAGTATGTAGTTTCCTTTAAAAAATAAAACTATAACCATTGTGTGATCCAGGAATCCCACTACTGGGTATCTATCCAAAGAAATGAAACCAGTATGTTGAAGAGACATCTGCATTCCTGTATTTATTCAGCCCTATTCACAATATTCAAAAGTGGGGAACACCTAATGTCCACCAACCAATAGATAGGTAAAGAAAATATGGTACATATACATAACGGAGAACTGTCAGCTGCAAAAATCAATGATATCCTGTCATTTGTGACAACATGTGGTGAACTGAAGATTGTTGAGTGAAATAATCCAGACACAGAAAGATGAGAATTATATGATCCTACTCATGTGTGGAATCTACAAAAGCTTATCTCATCAAACTTCACAATACAATGGTGGTTCCCAGAGGCTGGGGCAACTTGGGGTGAGAACTGGAGAAAGTTTGATCAGTGGTTACTGAGTTACAGCTAGATAAAAGCAAGAAGTTCTGCTGTGCTGTTGTACAGTAGGGTGACTATAGATAACAATAATATATACAGTCCCTTTCAAAATGCTAAAAGAAAGGATTCTAAAATTTTTACCTTGATTAAAAGATGTTTGAGGAGATAAATGCTTGACCTGATTTATACATTGCTCAATGTACCCAAACATTACATGGTACACCATTAATATTTGTAATATTCATGTTTTGTATAAAAGTTACAAATAAATTTTATAAAGAGCATGTTGTTAGATCACATGGTTGGCATATGCTTGACTTTTAAGAAAATGCCAATCTATCTTCCAAAGTGACTGTACCATTTTTGCATTCTTACTGGTGATGAAGGAAAGTTCCTGGAGCTTCATCTCCTTGCCAGAATTTAAGATTGTCAGGGTTTCAAATGAAGCCCTTCTAATAGGTACATAGTGGTATCTTATCTACCGTGGTGTCTCATTGTGTTGTTTTTTTTTTTCTCCCGTGGTGCTGGGATTGAACCCTGGGCCTTGTGCATGTGAGACAAACTCTCTACCAACTAAGCTATAGCCCCAGCCCCCACTGTGGTTTTAGTTTGCGGTTCCCTCATGACGCAGGATGTTGGGCTTCTTTTCATCTGCTCATTTGCTATGCATGCATTCTCTCTGGTGGGATGTCCATTTACATCTTTTCCCCATTTTTTTTCTATTTGTAATCGTGTTGTTTTATTCCTTACCATCAAATTTTAGAAGCTCTTGTATTATTCATATACAGAGTTGAAAGTATGCTTTGCAAATATTTTCTTTCAGTCTTTAGCTTGTAAGTTTTTAAATTTAAGTAAATTGAACATATTTGTTGTTTCTTTCATGGATTCTGCATTTGCTATTCTAAGACTTGATCACCAAATCCAGGTCACCTGGATTTTCTAAACATTTCACAGTTTTTCTCCTCGTATTTAGGTCTAGGGTATGCTTAGAGTTAATTTTTGTGAAAACCATAAGCTCTGGGTCTAGATTCATTTTTTCACAGGTGGATGTTCAGTTATTCCAGCATTTTTTTCTTGGAAATACTATGCATGTCCACAGGCCTGCCAGTGTCGTGGAAGCAGCCCAAAGTGGAACATCATGGGTTTCAGTGAGGGATGATGGGAAGCTAAATCCCAGCCTCTGACCTCTTTTCCTCGGGAAACGTTCTCCTTAAAGCTGATTCCTCCCCCAGGGTTCCTCTGGGTCTGGAGTTGTCTCTAACTCTTCTCTGAAAGCTCAAGAGAGGCACATCAGAATTTCCCTGTCCTGTATCCACTTTCTGACCTTCATTGTGTCCTATCTGTGTGACTTTAAGCAGGTTCCTAAACTTCCTATGAGCCTGTGAACTCATCCTTAACTTGGCGTCATCAAATTGCCTGACAGGCTGGTTTATAGGATTGAATGTGCCATGCATAGGGACGTTATGGGGGTGAAATGTGTGCTCCCAAAAGGTTCAAGTCCTAATCCTCAGGACCCCTGCTATGTGACCTTATTTAAGCATAGGGTCATGGAAGATGTGGTGAAGATGAGGTTACTCTGGAGTAGGGTGGGTTCCTAATCCATGTGACTGGTGTCCTTATAACAAGGTGGCCAGACAGGGATGGCAGTCATGCAGCTAGAAGCCCAGGAACGCAAAAAGGAAGATAGGAAGAGGCGCAGAAAAATTCCCTTTTGTGTTTCAAATGGCATGACCTGCCAACACCTGGATCTTGACCTGCTAGCTTTCAGAACTGTGAGACAATACATTTCTGTGTTTGAAGCAACCCATTCTGTGTTATTTTGCCTTGGTAGCCCTGGGAAGTTAATACAAGGGGCTAAGCACAGGCTCTGGCACAACCTAGGCAGTTGTCACCATGGCAAGAACAGGTGTGTGTGTGTGTGTGTGTGTATTCATGCATGTATGTGGCTTTACTCTTGGAACTCTGGGCTTGTTGGAAAGATTGGTGGAAATAAAGGTACTCACAAAACATCACCCCCATCTCATCCATCTATCCCTACAACCATTTAGGGTTTTAAGCTCTCCAGAACTGGGCTATCTGTCAACCTTCACATCACTACTGTGAGGAAGGAGAGATGAGAAAGTGCCCCAAGAAGTTGGCAGCAAAGCCTGGCCCAGATCCAGGGGTCATGCTCCCACCTCAGTCTCAGCACAGCTGGGGAGTTGGCCGTTCCAGAGCCCCACAGCTGAAAGCATCCTGTTTGAACAAGTGAAAATGGCTGCTGGTGGCACCTCTGGAAATGCCTTGATGAACTCCTGGTTTTGGTTTTGGTTTTCTTACCAGGCATAAGTTTGAGGGTTATGAGAATTAGTACTTGTTCTTTTTCTCTCCTCTCCCCTCTTACAGGGTAAAGACCTACCCGCCACTCTGTCTTCCACCAGAGGTGTGTCTCATTGGCAGAACCCACAAATGGCACCAGCCTCTCATTCCTCTCCTCTTCCTCAATAGGAACATTTAGCTTGGAGGACAGACATTTGCTCCCACTGAGGTGCTTAGAATACATTTCCCAAAAATGTGTGTGGGGCAAGTTCTATGAAAATTGTGAGCACCGAGAGTTCCAAGTATCAGTGATCTGAAGATTCTGAGGGGAAACTTCTGGGTAGTTGTCATTCCAAGGTTCTGAATTTTAGACATCACAGTTTTAGGATATGACAGTTTTGTCACTGCACAATTCTAAGATTCCCTGGGCTGGATTTGTGGCTCAGTGGGAGAGCATTTGCCTAGCACATGTGAGGCCCTGGTTCGATTCTCGGCACTGCATATAAATAAATAAATAAAGGTCTATTGACAATTAAAAAATATTAAAAAAGATAAAAAAAAGGATTCCCTGAGTCAAGGATTTTAGAAGCTCTTTAAGGAGACATGCAAATGAGAGGATGTGGCTTGATGCTGATGCCGGTTGTTGACCACCATGTTGGTAACAACAGAGGGGTGTGAGTCTTTGCGTCCATTCTCATTCCCACTCCAGTGAACAGGAAGAGACCAATTATAGAACCCAGGTTGTAAGACATAGATAACAGAAATCGAGAAACATGAGAATCACTTCCTGTTGGAAACTTGCAAAGTCCAAGGGAACAGATTTGTCTTTGGTGGATCTCAATCTTCATTTGTTAAAAGGAGGTGTGTGCATGTGTGTGTGTGTGTGTGTGTAACATTTAAGAAATGTGAATATACTCTGGTTTCTCTTCAGATCGTATAAATCTTTCGCCTTTTTAAGAAATGTGGAGATCCTGATGTATACAAATGCTCAGATTATGTATACTGCTCAAGGATCCTCCTTGTTAGGAGACTTGCATTATCTCATCTGACAGCAGGAAGCAGGTGATTCTGAAAATGGGTCTTACAGCTGATCACTGACTCCTCAGAGCACCTCACCTATGGAAACCCATGGCAGAATATGTAATCATATCCTTGTGTTAGGGAACAGACACATGTGAATGAAGGGAACACGAGGTTGAGAGAATAATTCCACCAAATCGGCCTGTTGTGCTGACCCCCATGTGCTTTCTTTTCCAAAAAGAAATTTACCTGCATCCCTGCCTGCTAAAGTAAACAGGTTATGTTGCATTTCTCAGCAAACTGTCTGCTAACTGTAGGAGAAATGCAGGCCCAAAATATTGTTGACAAGAGGAATCCAAGTTACCCTTAAGGTGAAGACTTTTGTGACCAGATACTGAAACTCTGGGGAATAAAGATAGTTCCTCCTAACCATAAAATCTGTAAGAATGTATGGCAAAGAGTCCAATTAGAAGTGATCGGCAGGGGCAAAGGTGACATAGAGTTGCCATGGCAGTGGGGACTTGAAAGTCTGATGTTATCTTGCTGTCAGTCAAATGTCAAGGGATGAATCTGGGCTGAACTCTCTAGAAACTTCTTTGGAATCCCCCAAAATACTGGAATGCAGAAGAGGCAAATTGTCCCTCTCCTCTCTGAGAGGAGCCACTCTCTTCCTTGAGAGTGTCCCCTTTCCCTTTACCTGTCCCTTCAATAAACTCCTTCATGTTATACTCTGAGCAACATATCTGAAATCTTTCTGAATTGATCACAAGAATTGGGTTTGAAGATGGGTTCTTCACAAGGCCTTGGTTTCTTGAAAGGCCCCGGCTCTGTAACATTTACACATCTGTGCATGAACACACACCTGCTCATGGCTGTACTCAAATCCAAAATTCTGGCCTTCCCTGAAAGAGTTCATCTCCCTCACACACATCAATGAGAGGCCTGATTCTACTTCCCCAGATGGACTCTGAGTCCGACACACTGGCCTTCTCTGACAGACACACAGATGATGACCGCTGGTTTTCATGTTCTGCATAATTAGGCAGGAGTGTAGATAAATATGTTGTTTTATTCAGGGAAGTGATGATATTTTAAAATCTCGTCCAAAGTCTGGGCACAGATGTTCAAGCATTTGCTAGGCACTTCTGTTCTGTGTTCTGTGTTCACATAGTGACTTAAACTTACTAAGCCTCAGCCGTGTCACCTTAAAAATGGGCATGAACACTGTTCCCTTTCACGTGGGCTTTTGAGTATTAAGCTGGGAGATCGTTAGATGCTTTTAGCACAGAGCTGACAAAGAATGCTTGCTCGAAATAATAGCTGTTATTATTATTATTATTACTATTACTATTACTATTACGACTGCGACTACCACCACCGCATAGTGTAAGGTTTCCCTGCTCTCAGGGCCCAATGTCCGGCAAAGGCAGTCTGTTGGTCTGTTCTGACTCTTCTCCCTCTTCTATCCAACTTGCCTCTTACTTCCACTCTCCCTTCCCCTTAACCCTGCCTCCCCCTTGGCTGGGCCCCAGCTCAGCGGGCCAGGAAGCTCATGGTGTAGGTCTTCGGGATGGTGGCAAAACCCACGTGTTTAGGAGACACGTCTATGTACTGGGGCGCCTGTGGGGACTTGAGGCAGAAGTTCTGCAAGATGGTGGTGAGGAAGAGAAAGAGCTCCATTCTAGCCAGGCCTTCTCCAAAACAGTACCGCTTTCCTGAAGAGGAGAGGAGGGAGAGGCTGAGGTGAAGCCAGCTCTCTGCAGCCTCACCCCAGTACCAGATGCCTGCTGCATTCTCCCAGGGAGTAGGGGCTGCAGCCCTGTGGCCCGAGAGACCTTCAGGAAGGGCTCTAATCCTCTCTGAGCCTCCATTTCCCTGGCACATGAGCTGGGGTGATCCATGCCAGCCTGTAGCACTGGGAAGTTTAAGTGCCCCTTACCCCCAAATACATTCTCAAATATGGCTGTATGCTGTCATCTTCTAAGAATCTGAAGATGTTGTCGTGTGTCCTTAAAAGGATTTCTGACTCTCTCTGATCCTTCATCATCCCCATCTCTAAATGAGATTTGATCATCCCTTCCCTTTTCCTGGGTGCAGATATATAGGTCCTGGTTGTTACGGAGTTGCAGCTGGTAGGCTCCAGGGTAGATTTCAAGAGGGACTTTAGAGCTGGAGAAAGATGCTAGGCTACACTTAGAGAGGGAAGCTGGGATGAGCTTCCCCTGGTGGTGTGAGCCGTGGCCTGGCAGCAGGCGGTGGTCTCTTACCAATGGAAAAAGGCACAAATGCATCACTCTTCTTAAACTGCCCCTTGTCATCCAGGAAGCGCTGGGGGTTGAAATCTTCAGGGTTGGAGAAGAACTTGGTGTCTCTCAGCACAGAGCCTAGCATAGGGAATACTTCTGTGCCCTGAAGAAGGGGGGAGGAGGGGTGGATAAGATGGGTTAGAAGAAGAGAGTGTTGAAAGTTCACAGGCACCGAAAAGAGAGTTAGGCTACCCCACCGGAAGAGAAATCGGAGGCGTGTGAACAGGGCTCTTCTGAGAGAGAAGCTTTGGGGGGGTATGAAGTTAATGCCTTTGAGACAGGAAGTATGGGGGAGTAGGTGGTTCACGCTCTCTAAGGCAGTAAAGTTAAGGGACACAGGGTCTTTGTCTCCTGAGACAGGATGTTGGGGGATGTGGGTTCATCTTTCTCAAGGCTGGAGGTTGGGGGAATTTGGGGAAACATGGGATTTGTGTCCCTCAAGGCAGGATGTGTGGGGGACATGAGGTTCCTGTCCTGAAGGCAGGAGATCTAGGGAAATGAGATTTGTGTCTTTTGAGACAGCGAAGTTGGGAGACATAGGGTTGATTCTCCTGAGACAGAAAGACTGGGGCTACTGGAGACACAGGAGTCTCTGAATGGCAAGATGCAAGGCACACAGCAGTTGCATGATTCTTTGATGGAGGGTGTGGGATAGGGATTGGAAATCTATTGATGGGGATGGGGTGCTAGGGTCCCAGGGAGTGGCTCAGAGGTCAGCACCTTGGGGAGGAAAAAGTCCCGAAATTTGGTGTCCTTGATGACCCTGCGAGACACGCCCATGGGAATCATGTCTCCAAATCTTTGGATCTCGTGGATCACGGCCTCTGTGTAGGGCATCTTGGCGCGGTCCTCAAACTTGGGCTGCCGGTTCCTGCCAATCACCCGGTCAATCTCCTCATGGAGTTTGGCTGAGGGAAAAGGAAGACGGTATTTAGGTACCTAGTGGCTGGAGAAGAGGCACGACAATCCAAACACGTAAACCTGGGTGAATGGCAAACACCTACATACGACACCCCCTTAGACCATTCAGAACAACCAATGGCCACACACATTGTGGCAGCAGGGTCTTGTTAACTTGATCATACCAGATTGGAGCCGCAAGTCAGGGGCCCTAGGGAGTGCCTGGGGAGCGGGCAGTGGGACTTAGTGGGCTTAGCAGAGGAGCAATTTGCTAACTGGTTCACACACTTCCAATATTTTCATGGCTACTTGGCTGATGCCTATCCACTGAATATCCCCCACCCCTGGCCAAGGACCTGAGAGAGGTGGAGTCAGTGGAGCTGGCTCAGAGGAGTTCAAAGGGTCTATGGCCTCCACTCTCCTGTCCCTGCAGCCTTACCCTCCACCTCTGGGTGCTTCATGAGCATCAGGAAGCCATAGCGCAGGGTCGTGCTCACGGTCTCGGTGCCAGCAAAGAAGAGGTTCAGCGTGGTCATCACCAGGTTCTTCATGAAGAACTCTGTGTTGGGGTTATTTTTCTCCTGAAAGGAGAGAGGCCTTCAGGCCAAGTCCCAAAGTCTTCCCTTTGGGGCCCTTCTGAGGTTTTACCTTGGACCATCTCTCTTAGGTCCAGACCTAAGGTGAGAGGAGGGGGCCTAGATTTGCTGGGCTCTGCCCAGGTTTCAGGCTTTTGAGTAAAATTCTGGCTTTGTCCAAAATGCTCTTCTCATGTGCTTTGCCCTGATGGCTATCTATTCTTTCATGACCAGGCCAGTTGTCACTTTTTCAATTATAGGGTATTTAGTAAGACAGGGGTGGAGAGAGACTGAGAAACATGGGCGGAGATGTGAAGATGGAGTGATTCAGGAGCATTAAAGATAGTTTTTCTGAAACAAAGAATTTTAAGCAACAGCATCTGTTCCCCCAAACATCGTGAAGTCTTTGGAGGATCTCCTTCCTAATCCTTTGAACATCAGACTCCATAAATCCCTATCTCCTTGCCGCACAGAAAAGAGAATGACACGCAGTTGGAGGTGAGATCTTTCAATGTTACATAGTAAAGCCAGGTCACCTGTCCACATGAGTGTGACTGATGACCAGGGTATAAAACATCAGACAGTTTGGTGGCTGAAAGCACCAGCCACAGAGTCAGAGAGACACTGTTTTGAGCTAGGGTCCACTGTTTCCTTGCTATGTGACCTTAAGCAAGTTACTTATACTCTCTGGGCCGCAGTCTCTTCACTTGTAAAATTGGGGTCATAATAAAACATTGTTCAAGAGCTGTTGTAGATGCTAAGTAAGCATTCAAAATAGTGCCTGGCTCATGGCAGCACTGTAGAGGTAGTTGTATGCACACGTTCCTCTGTGCTTACAAGGGCTTGGCAGATGGAATGGTGGTGTTTAATTATGATTGGGACCATGAGGATTATGCAAAGGGAGGCTAATTTGGGCCTCTGTTCTTCTGCCCTCCCTGGCCTTATTTCCCGCTGCCTGGCTTTGGACCTCCCCACCCTGGCTGCTGGCTGCACCTCCTTCATGCGGATGAGAAAGGAGTCGATGAAGTCCCGCGGGGAGTTGGGGTCCAGAGTGCGCTGGTTCTGCTCCACCTTCCTGGCCACGAAGTCCTCAAGGCCCTGCAGCTCCTTAAAGGCCTGTTGCTGAGGTCCTGGCAGGTGCTTCATCACCGAGTAGAACATCTCATAGAGCTGGCGGTTGCGGAAAGAGAAAGCAAAGACCAGACAGCTGTCAGTGCGCAGCACCCAGTGGGAGTAGGACCTGTCTCCAGGTGAGAAAGGCACAGGTTCAGGGCAGCTATCCAGGTGTTCAGTATTTGAGTGGGGCTGGAAGGCAGCATAAAGTGTTCCTGTGGGTTAAGTAGGAGGGCAACTGTCTAAGAATTTAGGGGAGATGATTGGAGCATGCATGTAGGTTGCAGATATTCAGGTGAGGTTGGGTTGGGAGACATTTTTGTTGAGATTTTCAGGTGGGACTTTATGTGGGGGGCACCTATTAGGTGTTTGGGCATTCAGGCAACCTCAGCTGGAGACAGCTGTCCATATACTTACTGGATTGGGAGCTTCTAACCAGGTGTTAGACATTAAAGTAATGCTGGTATTCAGGTGGCAAAGTGAGGGGTCTTCCCCTGTTTAGGTATCTAATGGGCTGCACAGAGGGAACCCTTTAGGTGTGTGAGTGAGTTGTGTTGGAGGGCGCTTATTTGGGTGTTTGGGGAACATTCAGTGCCCAATATTTGGAGTCTTGGTTGTGGTGCCTGATCCAAGTGTTCAGGTAATTCAGTGGGCAGAGTAGGGAGCACCTGTGGACTGGCTTGGGACACCATGATAGAGGTGAAACGGTGTTGGTAGCCTGGATTTTGCAGCACCAGGTATTCAGGTACCCAGGTGGGAACTCAAGTGGTCATTTGTCCAGGTATTAAAATATTCAGAAAGGTTGGGTGGGGAGGCTCTGCTAGAGATGAAGGCAAATTGGGCTTGGAACATCTCAGCTGATTGAAGCCATTTGTGTTTCCTGCAGACTCTGTTTGGGGACATCTGTTGAGGTATACAGGTATACTTGGAAAACATTATTGGACACTTGTCACTTGTCCTGGATTTTAATGCAGCTGGGGGCTGGTTTTTATCAATGGAGGGGGATGGCAGTTTGGGACACTGATTGCCCTGTGGGGGTGGGGTTGTGGCAGTTGGCCACTGTGGTGGCAGGGGTGGTGCCCAGCTGGAACAAGTTACCTGCCCGGTGGAGGTAGCTGTGAACTGGAAGCTTCCCAGCATCATGCGCAACAGTGACAGGAACTCTTTGTCCTCATAGTCAAAGCGGTCACCAAAGACAATGGAGCTAATGACATTGGAGACTGTTCGGCTCAGGTAGAAAGTAGGATCTATGAAGGCGCCTGGGGTGGGGAGAAGGTGGGAGTGATAGACCGGGATTGGAATAGAGCCAAGGGGGCCATCTTAGGCCAGTCCCAGAATCTGAGCCAAGGACATTCCCAGCCCCATGCCACAGACGGCGGCCACACACACCCTTTCCCCGCCTAAGACCCCATCCCGCGACACAATGCGGGGGATTTCCTTTTCCTTCTGGCCTGCTCCAGGGCTCCCAGCTCACCACAAGTGTCCCGGAATGCCTGGATGAGGAAGCCCGCCTCCTCCTGGATGCGCTCCTCAATCCCGCGCTTGCCCACTCCAAAGTCCCGCAGGGTGGTGATGGAGAAGCGCCTCAGCTGCTTGGCGCGCTCCCCATTGCTGAACACTACGCCTAGAGGTGAGTGCAAAGGTAGGAGGAAGTCACCGACAATGGAGGGGGCCAGCGGGCCACAGAGCACCCCTAAGAATGTGCCCAAAAGGTAGAGGGTTGCACAGAGAGGCAGGGAGCAGGGGACCATAGGCGCCGAGCTGGAGCGCTGAACAAAATGACAGGCACTGATCCAAACTTGGAAGGAGAAAAATCTGGAGAAAAGAAAACTGGATAAGACAGATGCAGAAATTGGGGATACAGAGACACGAGGGACAGAGGGACAGAGTGAGATTGAGGAAATATAAAGTGTGAAGGCTTCTCAATTGGAAGAGACAAAACACAGGGAGAGAAGAGAAGAGGTCTGGAGAGAGGAGAGACTCTCAGCAGAGGGTGGAGATGGGGATTTTGAAGAGTCACTGTGAGGTTGTGACTGATGAAGAAGAAGAGGGGGAGGGAAGGAGAGAAAGAGTCATGGGGAGCACAGAAGCTGAGGTGACAAAATCGAGGAGCCAAGAGATGGATCCATCCAGGGAAAGAAGAGAACAGGGCGACAGGTAGAGAGAAGCAGGGACAGACTGGGACATGGGAGGTTGAAAACAGGCCAGAGTCCAGCACAGGGAGAGGCAACAGTGAACAGGGACGCAGAGAAGACCAGTCCAGGGCTCTGCACAACCTCAAGGGCAGCTGACTTGGGGGCAGGCTGGGAAAACTGAGGCCACCAGGTGCTGTCCCACTTACCGTAGCCTTTGAAGAGCCAGTCAAAGGTGGCATTCTCCCCTCGCCCGCTGAACTCCTCAGCCTGATCCACCAGGGCCTCCTTCACTGCATCGTAGCCACACAGCACCACGACCCGGCGAGTCCCCAGGTGGACCGTGAACACGGGGCCATAGCGCTTGCTCAGCTGATGGGGGACGATGGGAGTGGTTAGAGGGCTTGTTCCCTGAATTGGTTCAGTTCCCTCCATGTCAGGGATGTCTTTTCCCCAGTGTCTGACATCAGATGATGTCAAGGTCTGTCTTTCCTGGCTAGGTCCTGGCTTCCCAACACTCAGAATTCTCCTGTCCTAGGACTGTAGCTCCTCAGGTTCAATCCTCTGCCACAAAGCCCTGATGAAACTGGGAAGTCCCTGTGCCCACCCCATTTCACCCATCTCCCTGGAAGGTGGCACCTTCATGAGGCAGTTGTACATCTGCTCCGTGTCCAGCTGCAGGTAGTTCCCGATGAAGGGCAGTGGAGTGGGTCCGGGAGGCAGCTTCCCCCCGAGCTTCCTCTGTCTCCAGACAGACATCAACACCATTACACTCAGGCAGGCCAGCAAAGCCACCAGCAGCAGCCCTGAGGCCAGCATGGTGGCAGAGAGTAGGACAAACAGGTAGTGAAGGCTGGGATGGTCTACCTTTATACTGCTGAGATCAAAGTCTGGCCTTTGGTCCCGGTTACATAATTGTCTCTTGTCTCCTTCCAACTACACCCCCCACCATGCACAGAGCTAGTTTGGAACACAGCCAGCAAGCAAGGAGGAGGGGGCAGATTAGCAGGGTAGACTTCTGGACTGGATTTGTGACACCTGAGGAGGAAGCACCCCAGGAGTAAGGATTGCAGTGGTGTAGGGATATTTGCATACCAGAGCTTCTGAGCTTAGGGTGTGGGGTTGAAGAATTACAAGGGTCCTATAGGTGCAAATTTCAAGGTCTCAGAAGGAAAAGATCTCAAGGTCTGGATTTCACTGGAATAAGACAAGATGTGTGGCTGTGGATTTGGGGGTATTTTGGTGAGGAGGGACATAGATTTAAGGGTTCTAGATGTGCATGGCTTGGGATGAGAAGGCCCCAGAGCTTGGAGTGGAGTTCCTGAGAGGGAATTCCCACAGGATTCTGGAGTGAGCACTTGAGCCCAGCTGTTGACCTGATGGCTGTGTGTGTGTGTGTGTGTGTCTGTCTGTCTGTCTGTCTCTCTCATTGGTTCTTTCTAGTTATCCATAACATTAGGATTCATTTTACACAGTTATACAAACATGGAATATAATCTTCTCTAGTTCAGTCCCCAATCCTTCCTCTTTCCCTCCATTCCCCTCTCCACCTGTTCCCTTCCCTTTACTCTACGAATCTTTCTGTATTTACTTATAGATTTTTAAATTAGTGTCTTATGAATGTACATGATGGTGAGATTCACTGTGGTATATTCATATATAATACATAATAACTAGGAATTGAACCACCATATGACCCCGTTATCCCACTCCTTAGTATATATCTAAAAGATTTAATATCACCATACTACCATGACTCAGCCACATTAATGTTGATAGAAGCAAAATTCACAATGGCCAAGCTATGGAACCAACCTAGGTGCCCTTCAATAGATGAATGGACAAAGAAAATGTGGTACATATACACAATGGAGTATTATTCAGCCATAAGGAAGAATGACTTTATGGCACTTGCTGGATGGAACTGGAGACTATCATGCTAAGTGAAATAAGCCAGTCTCCAAAATTCAAAGGTAGGATGTTTTCTCTGCTGAAGCTAATCCAGTATAGTGGGGTAAGGGGATAAAAAAGTAGAAGAAAGCTCAGTGGAACAGCTGAAGGGGAATGCAGGGAAGGGAGAAGGGATGGGATAAGGAAAGACAGTGCCGTGAATCTGACCTAACTTTCCTGTGTGCTGGCCCTTGACACCCAGTCTCTTCATGGGAACCTCAAGTGGGGCCACGATGGGCAAAACAGAATTAGCTCCTCCAGGGCCCATGTGTGGCTGGGAACCGGGTAGAAGACCAGAGTCACATTTCAGCGGGACTTTGCACAGAACCAGAGAGGAGTAACTCACAGTCACAGTGGACAGAGACTCTGCTCAGACCTTGAGAAAGTCATGACAACAAGAACATGGTGGCACATGCTGACAGTTTCCTGGGTCCTCATGTACAGACAGCCCCCCTGGGTTCCTACTTTGGTCCTAGGGAAGCCCACGGGGTTTACTGGATCATTTCTATGGTGTTATTATTACTAATATGCATGCCTCCCATTTCACATAAGGTGCACCGAGGACAGATGCAGGATGAACATGGAGCGATCACATGAGAAACCTGAGGCCAAGGGCCTAAACTCCCCCCTGTCCTGCTCTGCTTCTCCATTTCCCCTTTTTGGATTTTGTTTAGTGGATGGGGAACATTTGGGCTGTAGAAGATCCTATTTGACGATGCGTTCAGTCTCTTTTAGGAGTGATTCCTGGTTTGTCAGGGACTATCATTAGCAGCCAGAAGGAACTGGACATTTGGGTCAGGTCCAGTGTGGGCCCTGTGATGCCAAGGGTGGGGGCAGAGAAGGGACGAGTGGCCCTACTGCCCTTCCCTCATTGACACTTTCTTTAACAATAAGGACAGTCACCCTTGGTGATCTTGTTGTTCTCCGAGAAGATGGAGTCTGTGTTTGCATGATCTTTAAATCTCTCTGACAATGAGGTCCCTCATCACCCACCTCACTGAGGGCACCTGGGTGATAAGTGATAGAAGTGGGCTTTGAACTCTCCCCACTTCTCTTTTCCTTGCCTGACCCAGCCCACCCTGGGGGCCAGGTGAGGACCAGGTGTGGCAGAAGGTGGGTGCTGAGACTGGCATCAGCAGTGGGCACATGGATTATACTTGCAGGTTCAGATACCAGTATCTGGTAGGTGCTAAATGGGGAGGCATCAGGTTGGCATTGAGATTGCCCCCCGATAAACACCAGGGTGGAAAAGAAGTTGTCATTTAACTGGACAACAAAAGAAGATCAGAACCTCTTCTGGTACCAAGAGGGTTCCAAGAGTAGACCCAGGTGGTCATGGAGTTGGCTTCAGGAGGGAGGAAGGGTAGGTGACCAACCATGGAGGTTCTGAGGTTCGGCCCAGCAGATTCTGACATTGTGTTAGGTAGGTGCTCAGACTGGCCCTATCTGGGTTTGGGATTGGCCTCAGCTAAACCTTGAGCGGGGTGCCAGCAGAGTGCTGGGCAGGCCTTGGTGGTTGTACCTTCCAGATTTGCCCTCCCACAGGACAAATGGAGGTGGGCGAGGTTGGCACTCCCAGGACTGACATTTTGCTCAATCTCTTTTAGGCCACTGGTCTCTGGAACCTGTGGGGAGGGAACAAAGCAGAGAGAAAAAAAAAGTTGTTTGTTGATATTGGAGGGGGAAGAGGTGGGGAAAGGATTAAGGCTTGTCAGGTATCCAGTTGAGGGCCGCAGCTGAGTCAGGATGACGCATGCATTTTTGCCAGAAGTAGTGGTTGAGAGGTGATGCCAGCGAGCCATTAAGATGATGACTTTTGAGTTCTCTCAGAGTTCCCGTTGAGCTCTCACGGGAATTCCTGAAGAGTTCCAGTTGGTTGGTGAAGTTCTGGTGGTGGGAGTTCCGGTTGGTGTGTGGTGTGTTGCTGGAGGAGCTGCGTGGGTGGCATTCGGGAGAGTTCCCGGGGAGTGTGCTGGTGGAGTTTGGAAATAAAGTTTGTTCCTGCTTGAGTGGCTCGTGATTTGTGCCCAGCCAGACTGTGGCAGTATCCAGTCCCTCTAATCCTGATTACCGGCCTGCACCTGGGCTGGCCCCAGGCCTGGACCTCTCCTATCCCCTACCCACCCCCTGTTTTATTTTAGAAGGGAGGGAGATGTTTAGAGAATTTGTTTCTCCATGAAGTTGACCCGGGGACAAGGGAAGGGTTATGAATGTTCAAACAGGCTTTCCTGAGCTGTCCAGGGAAGAGATGGGAGTGTCCAAATGGGAGCAGGATTTAGGGAGTGGTCAGTCAAGTGTGTTTGCTCTTGCTGATTTCCACAGGCTAAAGGATTCATGTCTGAAGTCACGTGGGAGTGACACGTGAGTGAGCTAGTGGTGAACCCCAGGAAAATGCCTTCTCCTTGCCCCAGTGAGTTTCCCTTTCTGCACACATGAATTCCTACCTAGATGGATTATGAAGAACAAAGTGAAGGCTTGGTTTGGAATCCTAACTTCTGTCTTTGTTGAGTGACCTTGAACAGGTGACTTCATGGAGCCTTGTGGGGTCAGGGACAGTACCTGCCTCTCAGACTATTTGGTTAAGGAACATATGAGTTAATGCACATTTAGTGCAAAGCAGAAAATGCTCAATAAATATTGGCTATGTTATTTGCTGGTTGTTATTAGACCTTATTAATCTGTAGGATAAAAGATATGGATGGGAGGGCTGGGGTTGTGGCTCAATGGTGGAGCCCTTGCCTGGTCCATGTGAAGCATTGGGTTCAATCCTCACCACCACATAAAAAGAAATAAAGGTATTTTTTTTAAAAAAAGATACAATAAAAATTTTAAAAGATATGGAGGAGAATTTCTCTCAGCCCTATCCTGGCTTTTACATTCTCTAGCCCAAAGTTCCCAAAGATTTTCCTTTAGGGAAAGAGGAAGTGAGACAGAGATTTTATAGACACCTCCCACCCTCCCTCCCCATCCTTTTCTCCATACAGCTGACCTTTAACCCCCTGGATGGGAAATGGACCTTCCAGATGGATGGTGCTCTTTGAGGTAGGCTTTCTGTGTGCTCTGGCTAGCTGTATGTTGGTATTGTGTTGTTCAGTGGAGTCTCCCAGATGTCTCTGTCTAGTTTATCTTCATGTATGTCTTTCTGGGTGTGTGCATGTATGTTTCAGCATGTTCATGTTCGTGTTAATTAACTTATTATGCGCCAGTCTTTGTGGGCTATGTGTTTGTGTGTAATAAGTGGGTATCCAGTTAACGTCTTCATGTGCACATTTGTGTGAGCAGCTGATATGGGGTGTGTTTCTAGACAGGTGTGCCTGAATGCTCACCAGTCTCTGCCTCTGTGTACATAGCTTAAGAACATGTTTTGGGAGATAGTGTTTGGGGGATGTCTACAGTGTGTATTTTGTGTCCAACCTGGAGCATGACTGTGCTTCTACATGGTCTGTATGAAAGCACAAGTGGGTGACTATGTATAAGTGTATGGATGTCTGTGTGTGTGCACATGTGTGTGCATCTGTGTGTGTTCTTGTGTATATATGCAAGCACGTGGAACATGTTGTGCACAGGTGAACATCTGATATCTGCCTGTGCTTGTCTGTGTTTGGATTGAAATGTAATCCTGGCCTGGCTTCGTTTCTCGTTTTGAAAAAACAAATAATTCCTGTGTTTTTAAAGTATTTACCTCCCTCAGTTTTCAAGAGCAGGTTGAAAAGCCTCCCTGGGACAGGTGTGTCCCAGAGCCTTCCCAGGGCTGATTACTTCCCACTGGATACATTTAAATATCCTCCCAGAAAATTCTCATTCCCACGTATCACCACCCACCTCCCAAGCCATTTAACAGAATCATTCACCCAGTGTTCCCTGATTCATGTCAGCTCTGAGCTGAGTGGTGCCAAGTGACCAGAAAGCC